GATATTTAATCTGCTTAATTTGATTGCTTATCCCTTGCTCAAGAATTCTAACCTCGAAAGATACTTCCCTGGAACTAATTCATCTTTTTTTTTATTAGTTAGAATAGAAGGGAATCCAATTTTTGCACTTACTTATCTCTTACGGATCCTCACTACTTCTACTAATCTCGAGGGCTCTTCATATTCTTACAACAATATCAAGATACGCAACATCAATGCTCAAATGACAGCCTAAACAATCGTCATTGTCGTTTGAGAAGCAACTTCTCTTACTTAACCCTCGGAAAATTTTCTTTGGCTAATACAACACCGTTGTCCTCCAACTCTAGTGCCCATTTTGTTGTCCATTTTGTAGGATTTTTATTTTTATTTTTTTAATAAGTGATATTCTACATAAATTTATCTAAACTACGAGAAAGAGCTCCTACACTTCTCTTTTCATTATTGAATGGTGTTAAAGCTTGAATTACAGAAACACAACTTTAGGTCTTGAATTTGAAAAGAAATACTATCGTGTCGTCCAACAAATTTGGTAAAGGAGACTTAAAATAAAAGAGAAAAGGGCAACAAAATTGGACATTTCATTTTAGAAGGAAAAAATTGCCCTAATCTACCAACTTTATAGAAAAGAGCTGAAAGTTGGTATAACTCTGAATCTGAAGAAGTTGTGCGGAAGAGTGTAGACAGGAGTATCGATTTCGTGGGTCAAGATCGATTAAGATTGGTATGACTAATAACAAGCTAGCTTAACTAATCCAACACTCTTACGTGAGTCTTCCTTGTGGCCATAAATATGTAGTATAAGAGCATCTTCAAGAGAGTTTACAAAACCAAATTTGAAGTGCAACATAAGATGTTTATGCTCCATAAAGTTGTTAAATAAGTCTTCAAATTTAGAAAATGTCATATACTCTCTAGATTTAGAAACTCTCTATCACACTCTTCATATATTCTTTTTATTATATAATGTGTCTTTGTCAAAAAAAATTCCCAAAAATGAAACATTAAAATAAGTTCATATGAAGGGAAGTAATAAAAAAATACTAAGATTTGTGGAATCTGTTGGAGCAAATTTGAGAATCAACAAGTTTCAGTTTTCAAACTGACGTGTGAGTCAACAAATTTGTATTTAGAGTCACATCTATAAAAATTGTTGGAGATGCTCTAAGTTGTAAAACTTCAATTTTTCTTCAATAATCTGGACCGCTCAGTAGCATAGGGGGAATTCATAACAAAATCACTCATTATTTGCAACACCTGCAATTCTAATTAATAGGCTAATTAAGGTGAGGTTATTTCAATGTGGAAGCTAAATGGTCGGAGTAGTAGTGCCTCAACTTGTATGAAAGCAATGAACGATATTGACAAGGCAATATGGTCCCACATTCTCAGACCAAAATCAACCCTAAGGCATGAAGACATCTATACAAACAAAGAAGAAACTGAGGATATGTATTATTTACTAATTCAGAAGATAAAAGAAACAAAATAAGCACGTAACCCTAATTGTTTTAGAACTACAATAGACAAACGTGGATCCCCACAGAAAAACAAAGACACGGGTAACAACAACGACATGAATACTATAATAACCCTAGTATTGGTAATGAGCAGTGGGTGATGAAAAAGAAAACAAAAACCCTAACGAATCCGCTTTTACTAGGATCAAACAATCAAAACATGACAAAATCCAAGCATCATACGAGCAAGTCCAGCAAGAATTTTAGCACCTCCCCTCTTTCTGCTTCTTGCTTTAAGAAACTCAGCTTCGTAAAAAGAAATAAAAATACTTAAAATGGCAGAGTATATTGGTACCATATAAATACGCGTGTGTGCGCGCGCGCAGATTGCACAACGTGGTAGGGGAGAAGGCGTTGTTTTGGTATCTGTGGCGGGCATTTTTAGTGGAAGATAAAGTACCATGCATCAAGCTAGGGTTTAGGGTTATCAGCCTGCTGTATGTTATTTGCTGTATTCTTTTGGAGTAACTCGGTTGCATCTTTGCTTGTATCTAATATATTCCATTTGGTACAGAGTGAAAAAGACCAAAAGCAAACTCTCTTTGTTTCTCTCAAGAGAAAATGAAAACTAATTGCCACCGTACATTCACAATCTGCGATCAGAATCTAACATAAACTATCCCACTAGGCCGTATTGAAATTTTCATAAAAACAGTTACAATATTGAAATAAGACTTAGGGATGTCATATGTGAGAGGCACTTCCATTTGTATTATCTATGTCCTTATTTTCGAAAAAGAAAAAGGATGTCCCCATTTTTAAGAAAAAGTTCACACATTCTTTTTAAGGTTACCGTATAATGCATTTTAGCAATGTAAACCATCTATATTATAAGTCATACTTCAATATTCATTTTTACCAAAAATCATCATCATTCGAAACTGTTTGGTTATATAAACTGTGTACCAAAACACTATGTTAGATGAAAATGTAGATCATCAAATAACTAGAAAAGCCGGTTTTGTGCAGGAATAATCCTCAGAAGAGGAAAACAAAAAAACAAAAAAAAAATTGAACGTCTTCGGTAATTGGATTGCACCCGAAAAAAAATATCTTTATGTTGAACTAAAATGACTGGCAGACAGTCTAGTTAGTAGCAAGCAATGGGAAACCCCTAACATTGTATGATTATCTCGTTAAAGAAGGATGATTAAATATAGGGAACTTTAATAAAAAGCATTCGGTACTGTTCACTTTAACGAAAAAACACATTTTTATACTAAAAAGTCAATCCTAGTACTATTCACTTTACCCTTTATTTTGTCTTTATCATTAAAACTCAAAATTTTCAAGCATTTTCATTAGTTTTCCTTTAAATATATAATTATTGGATCATTTGCTTCTACAACAATTTAAGAGCCATCGAATGGGAATGAGTTAGGATTGTGTTTTCTATTAATGGGTATCAACGTGAAATGGGACACAATAACAAATAGCCAAAACCAATAAGAAAACAGCTGTGTGTCAACCCTACGTAGTGGTGTCCACATTCGCACTGAAAAAATACTGGTTATAAGGCATAAGTGAACCTTAAGACAGCGGAATTTGACATAAGCTAAGCCAACTTTAACTCATTCTAAACAAGAAACTAATAATTTCCAATCTATTTTGTTGGGGACAAAATATGAGAGATTTCAAACCTATTTCAATTTTTTTAAAGACTACTTTGTGATTAATTTAAGTATAATCCGTAAAATGCAGTTGATTTACAAAGAAAATTAGTAAACACCTTTTTGCATGTGGAGGTTAACAAACTCTAGCATTTGGGTGGGGGGTTGGTGATCAGAAAGTTAATCTCATTTAAATAGTCACTTCTTCTAAACACAAATATTGAAAACAACGAACATAAACGTTAAATATTTCCTTAATCCTACATGGAATTCCTTTACCAAAATAACCAAAATAATAAGGGCTCGTTTGGAATTGTATTTTTAAAATTACTAAAAGTGCTCTAGGTGGAATTGATTTTGGGTTTCAAAAACACTTCAAAGACTTTTTTAAAGAAGCATTAGGTATGTGTTTCTGGCAGGAATCACTTCAAGTGCTTTTTTAGGATCCACTTTGATTTTTATTAAAACTTGATTTCAAAAACATTTTTATCAAAAGCACTTTCAGTCATTTTAAAAATATTTTCAAATGAGCCCTAATACATTAAACCTTCCAATAAACTAAGTCTTGCGTTTTTCAAACTACCCATCCTTCTTACATGCCCATGAGGCCAACATAAAATTTAAGCATGGGCAGTTTGGTAAATCTACTAGTACAAGGTGATGACCCATTAATTTGGAGAAGAGATCCTCTCCGGATATCTTTCATCAAGGCTACCAGATCAAGTGATCTGGGTCTTTGAAATTTCATCCAACGGCCCACTTATTTTCATCCTTGAAAAGCTATAATAATTTTTTACTGTTGGATAAAATTTCAAAGATCAATATCATTTGATCCGATAATTTTGATAGAAGAGATCCGGAGAGGATCTCTTCTCATTAATTTGGTCCCCTCTGTTGCACTGGACTTTACAAGATTCGCTAATTACAGAAAGGCAAGACAATGAGTGTTTGGAAGGTTTTGGATATTTCTGTCCTCAAACCCCCACTCCCTTTCGGCCCTTGGATTGGACAGCTCAGAATTGTTTTTCATGGACCAAACTACCCTCATCCCATACTAAATGAGTGTGTGAATCAAACTATGATTGTAAGTGCAAAGATAAGTACTTTAACGTTAATTTTCACTTTAACTGGAACTGCAAAGATAAGTACTCTACCATTGATTCTTATTCTGACGGTCAGATATAGATAAATGCTCTATCATTAAAATTAAAATCTTTGGAATAGAATTCACATTTCCTCAAATGTGAACATAGTCGAGGACAATATAATGCCAAATGATTTCCAAACTTATTAGGGATTAGAAGGTATCACCATGTCAAAATTTTATGTTATATTCTCACAAGTAAATTTTGTACAAAACTATAGTTTCATGAGCAATTTACCCATACATTATTGCTTCTGACTTTCAATTTTGACAAGCCGAAACTAAGCTATCGTGGTGAGTTTGTTTTGTATTTTCTTTGTACGTCAGTTAATCACATTTATTTTCATTCTTTCTTTGACCCTTTTGAAAGAAAAAAATAACATGTGTAATCAATATGCACATGAAATTAAAAGGACCAACTCACTTAGATCATCAATTGCTATCATTACATAAAGTATTTCACAATTAAAGTGGGCATCATCATTCATCACTTCTTCAAAGTTCAAACAATTGTTAGGGTAGTGGAACATAGAGTGGAGAACTTCTCATGAAACCAAGCAATCATGTTCACAGTAGTACCACCACCTTATGTTGGTTGCATGGTTATTTTAGGAAACCATGGCCCCCAAGGACATTTTGGTCAATTTAGTTTATACCAAAACCATACCTCCTACATCGAGTAAGAGTTACCCCTCTCACTCTCACTCTCTCTCTCTCTCTCTCTCTCTCTCTCTCTCTGTGCTTCACATGCTCTCATTCTATCAAAATCCATAAGAACCAAGACAAAGAAGCTCATTGGCATAGGGTACCCCCTACTCTCTCTCTCTCTCTCTCTCTCTCTAAAATTCTCTGGTTTTCCAAGATTCCACTGTAGATATGATCATCTCTGCATACTAAACCGAACCATTGGATTCCCACTCCTTCATTCTCTCTGTTCTTATCTCTCCCTGAACAGTCTCACTCTCACCCCACTCCTCCTCTGCCCTCCTCTGTTTTTCTCTCTTGTTTTTCATGGCTTCTTTTACTACAAATACTAACAATTCTCAACCCCAAGAGAATAATTCCAATGTCTCAAACGATGTCAGGAGGCAGGAAATCCAAGCCGCCGTTGCCAAAGCAGTGGAGCTGAGAGCTCTCCATGCTGCTCTGGTTCAAGGAAGCAGCCCTGCAAATCTCAGGTTCCGTTCTTCTTCCCCTGCCTCCCGCCCTGCCTCCCAGTTCTCTGCTCAGGACTACCCCGTTTTCACTCCGGTGAGTCGAAATTTTCGACGTTCTTCATTTTCGTTCTCTAGTTTCCGGAATTTGCTCTGTTTTCTCTACTACTGTCATACAATTTGTTCTTTGCTTTTAATAAATATTTTTAGTTTTTAGGTAGTTTTTTTGGGTATTGCGAGCGTGCCACTACTTCGTTTTCATTTTTTTTAGCATGGAATTTGTTTTGTTTTCTTTGTTATTGTGAGAAATTTTTGTGTTCCTTGGATATATCAAAAGCGAATCCCGAAGATATAAAAGGGACGACAGAAGAGAAAATTAGAGCGTCAAAGTCACAAACCCTCGTACATTAGAGTTAGGCCAGTTGTCTTTTATGCGTACTTGAGTTAGGCCAGTTGGTTACGACCTTAAAAAGTTGGAACGCTCCCCTCGTATATTAGAGTAGTTTAGATCTTCGTATTTAAAATATAATAATAAGGATTGTATTTTGCGGTTAATAAGTGCTGGAAGAGTTCACTAAATTTGGAGACATTTTACAGAGTTATGAAGATGAACCACTGCCCGGATTTCAACAAATTCCGACAATGAATCGAAGGTTATCCGAGAATTGTGACGAGTATGGCGGGCTGGAAGGAAATGTGGATGAAACAGTTGCATCAAATTACAAGGAAAACTCATCTTCAAGAAAAGGGTTCCCTTCCGATTTTGCCTACTTAGAGTCCCATGCTTGTCCAGCTGAGGATCACAAGTCTGTGACAAGCTCTTCATGTGCAAACAATATCACCGTGCTTCAAACATCGCCTGCCAAGGAATACTTCAGGTCGAGAAGGCGAAATAGTTTGGGGGATTTCAACTCGGTTTCATCTTGTAATCGATGCAAGCCTGCGATCATAACAAGCGAATCGGAGGTTGGGACGAGGAACTACAGGAATTCTAACAGTGTTGTGCCGTTGACAGATTCACATTCTTCTGTTCGGTCGCAACCAAAGAGTCGGGGAGTCATTTCGTGGTTGTTTCCCAAGTTAAGGAAGAAGCACAAGAACGAAAGCTCTCCAAACCGAACAGAACCAGAGGAAGTTTCTCAGGTTTATAGGGACTTGGGGATAATGTCAATTGAGACGTTGAGGAAACAGCTCACAGAAGCGAATGAGCAGAGAGATGCCGCGTTAATGGAGGTTTCCGAGATGAGATCTTCGCTCGGGGAGCTGAAACAGAAGATGGACTACTTGGAAACTTACTGTGAAGAGCTGAAAAGAGCTTTGAGACAAGCAACACATACCAAGAATTCCCAATTCCCCGAAAAGCTTGGGAACTTCCCAAAGAGTGGCAAATCCAACGATGGGAATGCAGAAAATCTAATGCCGGTCAGCGAGGAAGTAATGGTGGAAGGTTTCTTACAGATAGTATCGGAAGCAAGACTGTCTGTAAAACAGTTCTGCAAGATCCTTGTAGCGCAGATCGAAGTAACAGATAACACCCTGGTGGATAATTTGAACATGCTTCTCGAGCCTTTCAAATTGTCATTGAGTTCTAAGCACTCCAAGGAAGTGTTGTACCATTTGGAAGCCATCATCAACCAGTCACTCTACCAAGACTTCGAGAACTGTATGTTTCAGAAAAATGGCTCGCCGAAGATTTTAGACCCTCACCAAGCACGCCAAGCGCAGTTTTCTTCGTTCGTTGCCCTCAGAAACTTGAGCTGGAACGAAGTATTAAGAAAGGGAACGAAGTATTACTGCGAAGAATTCAGTAAGTTTTGCGATCAGAAGATGAGTTGCATCATTACAACACTAAATTGGACAAGGCCGTGGCCGGAGCAGGTTCTTCAAGAATTCTTTGTTGCTACCAAGTGCATTTGGTTGCTTCATTTGCTTGCATTTTCGTTCAATCCCCCTCTCGGGATTTTGAGGGTGGAGGAGAATAGGAGCTTTGATCCACATTACATGGATGACATGTTCATGGACAGGCAGAGATCGCTCGGTCCGAGCCGGGTTAAGATTATGGTAGTGCCAGGGTTTTATGTTCAGGATAGGGTTTTAAGGTGTAAGGTTCTTTGCAGATATAAGTCTGCAGGTTCAGTAAATTGATCCCTTCTTATATATACATATATATATATATATATATATATTTATCAATCAATTATTGGTTTTTTTTTAATTATTTTGTATGGATTAACTATTCAACTACCATCGATGCTTCAACTATATGAGGCTTAATTGGATTTATCGTCCCTATAGTGATAGAGTAGTCAAAAGATAACGTTTGTGGTAAAAATATTATGATTTAAGCCTCCGTGGTATGGTCTGTTAGGATTTAAGCTCAATAAAAGTTCTGTCAATTGTTAGCATCGAAGCCTCACATGTGAGACTAAAAAAATAAAGTTAGCCTCCCGTGCTAACAATCAAACGGAAAGTTCCGTTTTGGTCACACATGTGACTCACGTTCTAACAATTAACGGAGAGTTAACAAAACTTTTAATTTTAAACATTAGGACTTCCCCACATGCGTTTCTCCTGATTTTTTTAACCAAAGGGTCCATCTTCCTCACCACTAGGATTAACAATCCAATTAGGCCATTATATAAATGTTGATATTGTGTTCATAGGGTTATCGGTGAAAGTCTACGGAGCAAATTACTAGCGATGTGCCATCAGTTCATTAGGTTGTTGGCCTAGTCAGTTGATCAGGCGGTATGACCCAAGTTTTTCCTCAACCAGAACCTGCTTATACGTGAGACAATCTCAACAATCTATGGATTCTTGAGCACAAAAATATAGACTGAAATTGTATTGCAAGCACGCAGAATAACCGTCCTACTGAACCACTTACAGCATACAAAACAAGGACAAAAGACTCAAATAGAGCAAAACTTCAGGGGTGGCAAGTATCGTCTCAAAACTTCAGTTGTTAACAACGTTATGACTAGAAAAAACGAGGAAGAACTCATAACTATTTTTCTGCAACTGCAAATGCTAATCCCAAATATACGAGAAGAGGCCGGATTTATGCATGACCATTTGAACCCTCGCCGCCTCAGGGCATGCCGTCCATCAACTGAAGCTCAGTGCAGATACCTTCATGCATTTACTTTTACTTTCTTCATCAGCTCTATGAATTCGCTAAAAACTGCAGTAAAAAAAAAAAAATCCCTTAAACTTTTTTGTAATTTAACATTACACGGTATGTAAAATTGTAAAGAAATGGTACCATAAGTGTGATAGAAAGTAGCTAGAAAGAAGCAACAGCCCTTGTAACTATGAGCTCTAGCTTCACCCTTCAGTAGGTGATGAAATTCCTAGATTTCTTGTTAAAAGTGCATATCTCTAATTGGTGCAAGCATCTACGGCAGATAAAACTAGTAAATTTAATATTTACTTATCAGTAGGTAGAAACACAGTTCACATTACCATAGTCCGAATCATGAGGTCCTGGGGATGCTTCAGGGTGGTACTGAATAGACATGATGTTTCGTGCAGGATAGGCAAGGCCAGCACAACTTCCATCATTGAGATTGACATGAGTTACTTCTACACCCTCCGGAAGTGATCCAGCCTCAACTGCAAAGTTGTGGTTCTGCAACAAAATTAGAGGATGAAAAGGTTCATATATGTCCATTACTTCAACATGTTTACTTTAGACAGTTCAAAATTTTCGAACATAATAAATTTCTAAGATTGACATACCTGAGCACTTATCTCAACATGTCCAGTATGAAGATTACGGACTGGATGATTTCCTCCATGGTGGCCAAACTTCATTTTGAAAGTTTTACCGCCTAATGCCAGGCCAAGCAACTGATGGCCCATGCAAATTCCAAAAACTGGAACCTTCCCAAGAATCTCCTTGACTGTTTCAACAGCATAAGGAACAGCAGATGGGTCTCCGGGGCCATTGCTGAAAAGTACCCCATCTGGTTTCATTTTAAGAGTCTCTGATGCTGGCCATGTTGAAGGCACAACAGTAATTTTACAACCATACGAAGCCAAGCGCCTGAGTATATTATGCTTGATTCCAAAATCATATGCAACCACCTACAATTCAGACAGACAGGAATAAGATAAAAGGTCAACTAAGACCAAATTACCAACATCAGAGCAATACTGGCCCTTTAGCAAATGTGTTTGCCTTTCGCTTTATAGTTAAAGAGATAAAGGAAGGGATGGGGAAGGAGAGAAACAAGAGATGTGACACGTGACAAAAAGAGTATGCATAATAGGATACAATTATAACTAAAAAGCAATTTACTTCCAATATCATCCTATATATTTTTTCCTTCATCCCTGTTCTCCTCTCCTTTTCCCCTCTTGTTAATTTAAAAACAAAGAACGAAAATGTTACCAAACATTCTGTTTAGTAATTCAAATTTAACTCAATACTGACTTACATGAAATGCATCTCCATCTCTTTTACTGGAGTTAAATGCCCACTCTGAATCTGTTTTATCAACCCAATCATGAGGGGCCTCACATGACACACCACTTATTAGATCGACCCCTGCAAAATTAAAACAAGAAACCTTGGAATTTTAATCCTTAAACTGGATTTCTTTTTCTGTTACATCCTTTGACTTATTTAACTAACAAATACTTACCAACAATGTCCCACGAACGAGACATTTCCAATAGTTCTTCATCTGATTTTGTCTTTTCCGTGCTTAAAACACCAATAAGGCTTCCATCTTGCCTTAATCTTCGGGTGATAGCACGTGTGTCAACATCATCTGTTTCATAATCAATCAGCACCAAAAGCAAAACGTCAGAAGTCATACATAAACACCAATTAACATGATTCTGCAAAATATTAGTTCCTTAAAGATTAATGCCCAGGTCTAACTTACAAATTCCCATGATGTTCCTTTCTGCTAAATAATCACCAATTGTTTCTGCACATCTCCAATTTGAAGTACTGCAAATTAACAATTACACAGTTTAGTTTATTGCCAAAACTGAGCATCACAGCTCAATCACGGAAATGGCTGATATTAATGTTCCTAGAGCAGTATTTGAAGAAGGACCAATTGGTCACCTGATGCTTAAACTTCTGATCACCAGACCGGCAAGGAAGCATTTCCTTGATTCTTCATCATCTGATAAGGATGACACCAATATCAGAATTCAGCATATCCAAGACGGTATAAATTTCAAAACTTGAGAAAGAAATCTTCACCTACCAAAATTTACACCAGTATTTCCAATATGTGGGTTTGTCATCAGGACAAATTGGCCAGCATAACTAGGATCTGTAATAATTTCTTGGTACCTGCGTAAACATGTAAAATGCCCGTACATCAGACTCCATATATTACAGGCTGAAATTATGAATTCCTCGAAATTGATACCCAACCACAGAGGAGGTAACTAGTTCCACTTATACAAGTACCAAATTTATGTTACAATGTTAACATATGCAGCTAAGTCCCACAAACGGAGTGAACCTGACACCAAAGTTCAAATGTTAAGATAAATTGCTGGGAGATACAAAATCATAAGTCATCTCACCCAGTCAAGGATGTATTGAATACAACTTCACCAACTTGGGTCCCTGAAGCGCCAAACGACTTCGCTCTCCAGATTGAACCATCTTCAAGCACAAGCCTAGCATCTGAGGTCTTCCAAGGTCTTTCTGCCAAATCTAAACCCCAACAAACAATACAAAACACACAGAACCATATATTTTTAATAATAAAACTACAAATTTAATCTGTATTATAAAGAAATTATCAACAATCAAGATTATAAACCTCCGAGAGTGAATTCTGCGCTTAAGAACAAGAAATTCAATAAAACTGAATAAACCCATCATTTGTTTTTCACTTTTATTAAAAAAAAATTCACATTCCTGGACATAAAACTGAAGTTCTATGGCACGCAATTAACTTGTTTTTCATCTAATTACTGTAAAGACAGAGTCTTTTTTTCTAATATAAAACAAATATTTTAAATATTCATGCGCATTAATGTATTGGGAAAGTTGGAAGAGTGAAAGAAAACAGTTGAAACAAGAGGTGACGGCAGAGCAGAACCTGGGACGGTGGTTGAGGTGGCGGAGGAGCATCGGATGGTGAAAGCTCTGAGCTTTGATGGGTTTGGAGACTTGGGATGGAATAAAGTCCACGGATTTATAAGAGCTAATTCCATAGCTGCTGCGGCCATTCTCCTCTCTCTGTTGCGGCTGTGGATTATTTGGCTTTGCTATGCTTCTGTGTTAGAGAGAGAGAGAGAGAGAGAGAGAGAGTAGAATATAGAAAAGGGACATACAACGACACATCATACTTTTTTAGTGGTCGGACATAAAAAAAAATTGTTACTCATTATATTTTTATATATAATGTTAACGAAGCTAAATTTGTAAACAAAGTTTTAAAAATTAAAATATATGAAAGTTAATGAATGATTTATTACTTACACATTGATAAATGTGCTTACTCTTATTCGTAACACATCATTTAGTTTGTAAATTTAGTCCCCAAATTTAGTCTTCCTAACATTACCCTATTTTTATGTCACATTTGTATCATATTTCATCAGACCTGCATGTGTGTCTCATCTCTATCAGAAAAGTAATAGAAATATAGTATGAAAAATATGGTAAGAGCAGTATTTTTGTAAAAAAATACAACAAGAGGTAAAGCTTGCGAAAGCAACTAATAAATTAACATGCATAAGATTCAAATTCCAATATCCTAATGAAGAGGGTGTTAAATTTTTTTGTGTCATGAGTACGAAACTTTCCTCACCAAAACTAATGTAAAATTTGAGAAAAAAGACCTAATAAATTAACGTTGACCACATGATGCCAAAGGCCAATTTAGAATTAGCATTTAAATTTTAAAAATAATTATTGGCACTTCAAAATTTTAATTTAGTATAATGACCGGACGAAACTAAAAAATAACTCCCCAATGCGACATTATAAAAGATCCCCTTTAAGATTAAAAAAAAAAAAAAAGGAGTCCCTTTACTCCGGGCAGCCTATGGCTACAGAACAGTTTATCAACGCCGGTCGAGCAGGTCGGAGTTTTGCGCTTTGCGAGGTTCTGAAGGAAGATAGTGGCGGATAAGGGTTGGGTGACGAATGAGATGGAAAAAGGCAAGCAAATGAGAAGGAAAGCTTGTGAGGCGCTTTGGAAGACTTTCTTTCTTACAGCTGCAGCAATGTCATACACGGTAGAAGAAAATGGTGGACTCAAAACCAAATGAAATTTTACTAAACAGATGAGAATAATTTAGCATATGATCATTATACTTAATGTAAGTACAAATCCACTGCATGTAACATGCTCAGAAAATATCCATTAACACCTAACACCGTAAACCTAATTGAACGAATCTGACTCGATTAGTAAAACGAGAGCAAACTAGCTTCCAATGATATATATATATATATATAGAGAGAGAGAGAGAGAGAGAGAGAGAGAGAGAGAGAGATGTTGAAATGTTATCCTCAAAAATGTTGCAACAGTTACTTCTAATTGGGACCTCTGTGAGTCTGATGATATGCTGTAAAACTCAGCAGAATTGGTTATAAATGAGAATGTAATCTTGTTGCAAACTCCCCTGTTTATACCAATAATAACAAACAATAAGCAAGATACAGCTGAGCTTTCATACTTCGTCCACCAAAAGCTACGAACTTCATACTCACTCCACCCAAAAAGCTATGAACTTTCATGCTCGCTCCACCAGAAGCTAACAGAGAGACTTGGCGTTAGAGACCGCACATAGTGCCACCACTTTGGTGGGATATAAAGCATATCACCTTCCTCTAAAATGCAGTCAACGAATTCCAAGTCACGCATCTTTGGGAACTCATTCTCATCTATATTGTCCAGATCAACCTTCAAACCAAAGTATTTTCAATCAGTATATATATTTGAGCTTTAGCCTTTAGGGCAGGGAATCCGATCCCATCTATATGGTCTACATTGACCTCATCAGAGATAAAGGAATGGGCATGCATGGCAAGGCACTCATTTTTAAGAACAGAAAAACAATGTAGCAACAGTAAACACAACAAAATAATAAGGTCGAGAATGTGCTTACCTGGCTTGAGTTGCATAGCATGGTCTCAGTGTATGGGTAGAGTTCCTCGGACAATGATGCAAGGTAGAGCCTTATATATTTTTTGCCAACTACCTGAAAATGAGCGATGGATTTGAGTCATACAAATGTTTGGATCATTTTATTCTAGTAACAAGAAAACAACATACATATTCAAACATTATGTGCCTGGAATGAAGCATCAAAGCATTCTTGCCATTCATGATGATTCAGCACATTGAAATCGTTCTGCAATGTGCACTGAAGACACGGTTTGGTACCAACATGTTGAAGACATAATTTGGAGCCAGCGCACCCAGGCATGTTCTATGAAATTATCAGCTTGTTTAAATACACACATGGTTTTACTTTTTAAAGATGGCAATGTGAGTCTGTGACAATGCATTTAGTGTACAATTGTTTGCTTTCTTTCCGTGACACTCGTATCTCCACCATCACACAACTATCCCATTACAAATTATTTGTTCCCTTAGACAAACTATGAACGAACTTTGGAACTCATAACTGAAACAATTTGATGGTAAATCCAGCTTACTGGATGATTATTATACTGGGTAAGTAAATTATAACACTCCAGAAGGCAACATCATGATGTAAATACTCAATTCAGGAAACCAAATCTAATAAAAAAAGGAAAACTAATGAAAAGGGCTTGAAAACTTTGAGTTTTAATGATAAGGACAAAATAAAGGGTAAAGTGAATAGTACCAGGATTGACTTTTTAGTGTAAAAATGTGGTTTTTCGTTAAAGTGAACAGTACCAGGAGCTTTTCGTTAAAGTTCCCAATAAAAAATGCTACTCTTACCACATTTACCATACCACATTTGTGCCACCTCTTTAATATAGATGCGACCCACGTGTTGGTAAGCCCTACCTCTATTAAAGAGGCGTGCAAATGTAGTATGAAAAATGTGGTAACAGTAGCATTACTCAAATCTAATATACCTGAGCAAGAACATTATGGTGTGGATCGTGGTGTAACGGAGTTACTGTCCCAGCTGGACCAAACCAAGCATTTAGAGACCTTAGTTCGCCACCACCGGCAAAACAATAGTCAGGAATACATATGTCCTCATGTAGCTCATTTATCTGCATATCAATAATGGGATATAAGAAATACGAAGGTGGAAACTTGGCACAGTCCAGCCCAACAAGTAGGCATATTGCCATTAAAAACATGGTAACGGTGTAAAAGAGCACACCTGATCAAACAATGGATGCTGAGCAAGATATGTTGGGGCAGCAGAAGTAGAGCCACTAGCCTGAATCCTCTCAAGAAACTGGGAAAATGTAATAAGCTCTTGCTTCCACTCCGGGTACAAATAATTTTTCCCGACCTACAGTGCATTCAAAACTTTACCAATTGTCAGTTATATAACAAAAATCAACGAATTAACGAAGAAAGTAATTCAATCAAGCATCAATTTTCAACAAACCAGTGGTCCAGTACTACTACATTATGAAGAAAATCACCTCAACTGGCACGGTGCGATCACCGGCAACCTTTGTTAGATAATCCAAGTCATTCCACTTACTCCTGGCAGGCCAATGATCCATACCATCGGTTATTATAACCGGGCGACCTGGTAACAAGTATTCACTCAAAAACCCCTCCAAAGACAGGCCTGATCTCTTCACAACCATTTTACAAGAAAGTGACTTTCTGGGCAAAACTCCAAGCAACTGCCAATCAAAAAGTAAATACAGTAAAAATAAATAATAATTTGCAAAACCCAGTAATTAGAAACCAATTTCAAAGCTACCCTTTTGAAAACAGAGGACTTTAGGAATTGGGATATCTTTAAATTTGGAAATTAAAATAAATTCTATGAATTTATAAGCAAGATGTTGCCTTTGAGCTATAAGCAATAAAAGGCTATGAATTTTGATGTGAAATGACGAACCTCACCTCCTTAGAGACGACTTCGTCACGGACCAATCGGCGGTCCGCATTGGGACATTTCTGCTGCTGCTGAGAAACCCTAGCGGCCCTGGCTTTGGCGGAGACGACGGTGACGAGGGAGTGCAAGTCGGGTTTCAAGAGCGGGCCGCCCATGATCAGGCCCATGTCGAGTGCCCGGAGAGCGTCGCTGAACTCACCGGCGGCGGCATGGAGCTTGGACACGTGGAGGCAGGCCATGGAGTAGGCGTCGCGCCAAACGGGGAGAACGGAGTGCCAGGGACCCGAGTGGAGCTGCTCCCAAGCCATCTCGCGAGCCGCCTCCGCCGCGCGGAGGTCGCCAGCGGCGGCTCGAGACGCCATTCTGATGTAGGCGTACCCGCCTTGCTCGGAGATGGATTGGATTAGGTGGGTTGACTCGGAATCGAGGATTGGGGTGTCGAGGTGGTGGTCGGAGTTGGCGGCGGACATGGCGGTTGGAGGAGGAGGGTGAGAGAGGAGAGATATTTCTAGCTGATATACGAAAAGATATTTTGTTGATTAAAACTGAAAAGTGTATATGTGACGTGTTGGCGCAATTTTGGTTTCCATTTTTTCCTTTTACATTTTTTTGTTGTTATATTTTTGGTCCACGTCGATAAAAAAAAGTTGAGAGATTTATGTGGCTGATGAGAAAATCAAATTATTAAATGCATTGAGAAAGCATTTTTGTTTTTATCTACACATATCTCGGAATTTAGACGATCATTGTAACAATGTCATTAATGAAAGGGTTGGGTTTGAACCTGAAGCTATCGTCACAAGACAAGACGTCATAAAAAACATGAGAAATGGGAAGGAATATTTCTAAGTGCAACTCTATATGAATATTATATCATTTCACAATTTAACGTTAATTCTCACACTAATACTATAAAATTGTTACAAAAATATAAAATACCATAGCATCTAGGAAGAATCTAATTTGTTAAGAGTGTTTTCTTAATATTTCTCAAAAAGCATTGGTCCGATGATTTCAACTGGGGCCCAGGCGATTGCACTGGTCTGTTTTTTTATTTCAGTTTTAATTACAATTATGTCCTCGGAACAATGCAATTATTGATGGGAAGAAAAAGGATGAGAACAATTTGAGTAGATCCTGCGATTAATCACACTTACAAAGTCAAAACAGTTGGTCACACTCTCACAAGGTCAAAAGGAGCGGGACTCCGTTCATTGAGGATTGTACATACCTGAGGCAAAAGCGAAACTGTATTCAAATTCACGAGAGGGTCTCACGTATTACCTAATAACGTGATGAGTGAAATAAGTTGAACGCCCGAGAGGGTCCCGCGTATGATCTTGTGTTTGGGCCTAACACATAGTCAAGATATCTAGATTTTCATCTAACCTAGTTGAGCTCACAATGAAACTGCTGAGGCTTGATCATCAAGCAAGGTGCAACTATCAGAGACATATTCATTTGATTCAAGGCTGCTTTTGATGGATCAGGTCTTAGCCGGCATGGTTTCCTCATAAGTTGGAGAAAATCCTCAGCATGATGCATGACCACGTCATCTGTAGGGCACTCTCATGGTAAAGCTGGGTCCTTACATCGGAGGTTGGACTAGGGTTCAGGTGGGACGACTTCCGTTTGGCTGTGACTTGAAAACCACTGAACTTAAAAACCATGTCTTTCTTTCTAAAGGGATGAGTGTTTTAGCATGCTATTATTTGGTCTGCTTACCTTCATATGATCCTAATTCAAAGGATGTCATTCGTTTCTAACTTTGATCTGTTCTATACGGGGGAGGGGGGGTATGCCTCGGTTATACGCTAAAGAAACTAGGCTCAAATCCTTTACACAAAGATACCACAACATAATAGCATGTACCATTTCCACCTTACTGTGAGCAAGGACTAATACGAAAGCAGGCATTTTGTGAATTTGTGAATAAAGCAAATTGCCAAAAACGGAAGTCAAATTGCAGGAAAAACAAATAAAATGGATGCAGTACAGTCACAGCTACAAATATGAGCATCAAGATATGAGCATAGCTGTATCAAAAGTAATATCGTGCAAAGAAATGAAGACATCATCATAACTTAGTCATTTACCCAGTCTAAGAGATCAACTCATTTACATGAAACCGACATTTCGTTCTTTTTGAAGATTATTGGAGAAAACTCAGATGTCATTCACTTTGGTTGGAGAATTATGAGTTCTAAAAAGAAAAGAAAATCATAACTTAAAGTTTCGGAATACACGAATGATTAAACCCATATAAGAATTTGTACACAAACAGCAACAGACTTATTCCCAGGTGGGGGATGAATGCAACATTTTTCCAGTCCCTAAAACGAAGATAATAATCTAGATCAAATTCTGAACACAAGTTATAGACAGGTAGCATGTGACACACTGAGAAGTAAAAATCTTGATCAAATTATTAAGACTAGTTATTAACAAGATGCCAGAGAAACATTGAGAAATAAGAATCACTTGATCAAATTCTGAACACAAGTTATAAAAAAGGGTAGAATATAAGACTGAAACATGACTTACAATCTAAGCCATGCGGATATAGGATCTAATAGACTATGCCGCAAAGTACTCCATCATTTCTTCGAGTTCAAGATCATCTAATGAACCGGTGCTATCAATTCCAAAGTTGAATGGGCTGTTGAATAATCCATAATCTAACGACAGGCTATCAATTGGAGACCCAAAGTTAGCATTGGCAGTTCTGTCTTGCTCACTCTGAAATGTGTCTTGAACAAAATTTGGATCTCCTCCAGCAATCTCACTTCCATTTCTATGTACTGGTACATGGATTCCATTCGTTGGTATAACCTGCGGTTTATTCATTACAATCTGAGGCAGCTGCTGGTCTTGACTTGGGGGATATTGTGCCAAAGGATTATAGAGGTTAAATGTATCTCCATGATGCTGGTTAAATGTATCTCCATGATGCATGTCAGCATCTTGCACCCCATGATAAAGCAAGGGTGTTCCACCAACATGCATACCCTGTGTCATAATTACATTCTCAGAAGGTACACCAGGGTAGTAGTTAAACTCAGGCGCAGGTATTTGTGCTTGGACATCAAGATCGTTCTCCAGCGGCCGTAAAGTTGTAATGCCACCATTTTCCTGTTGATTCTCATGGACCTGAAATCCAATCATCTGTACATCAGTGTGGTTTATATCAGGCAATGCACCTCGAACATGTAGATGCTCATTGGGAGATGGTGCAGGAAGTTGTTCGACAGGGCTTGCTCTGACACGTGCCCTTTTTGTCCTCGGTTTCTTTTCACCTTGCTCTTTATATTGGACATTATTACGAGAATTATTGCGTAGTTTGCTCAATGGCTCTACATCCGTCACCTGATTCCTCATATCATCTTTGGATGAAGAAACCGACCCTAACCCATCATCAGTACCATCAACATCATAGTCACTGTTACTGCTAGCAGCAGCTTGCTTTTCACCACAGCCACTTTGTGGCATCTCAATAATGCCAGATGTCCCATTATCACTACTAGGCTGCCTAATGAGAGATTCTTCTCGGCTTAAAACCCCTAACCAAATTGCACTCTCCTTTGCTGTCATCTTATCCTGTAAGCATTTTGACTGGCGGACGTGCTTCCTTATCTTTGCAATATCAGGTGACATATGCTTTATCACAGCAGTTAGCACTCCAACTTTCCACATCTTCTTTAGGTCGTGCGGCTTCTTATAAGGAGGACTCTGACCATGGGCTAGCCCTAATTTGACCCACCAATCTTCATTTCCTGTTGGCCACCAAGGTGGTGGAACTCCCTTTTCTAACGGATACTTCCTTTGAGGGGGGTCACAGTGTTGCATCAAAGAAGACAACAGAGAACCAAGAGTTGCATCTTGTAGATCTTGGAGGATACTCTGAGAATTCCCATTTCGATTATTATCTGCATCACTCATGGCAAGACACTCCGCTTCATACTTGGCTATGGCTGCAGGCCCATTCTTATCGAACTTCACCTTTTCTTTCCACCAAGCCCTGACGTTATCTGAAGCACCGCTCACTGGCTTGCCCTTCTCAGGAATGATACCATACACAAAACCACGAGCTTGCACACTTCCATCAGCTTCAGCATATACTTAAGAATCCCATCTTGTGCTCTTGACATTTTCTTCCTACGAGCCTGATCAGAGGTCTGCTTGGGCTTCTGTTTTTCAGCAGCTTGTTGAGCTTCAAGTTTCTGTCTTTCTCTAAGCCTTTTGAGTTTGATTCGATCCTTCCACATCCGCATCTCCAAATCTTCCGATTCAATCTCTTCGTCACTGACATCTTTCTCCGCAATATTATTGCACCTCAAGTCTTCTTCTATATCCGAACTGTCATTAGCAGTCAAAAAATGCTCCAATCAGTAAAACTACAATAACCCACCGTGTCTGGTTGCTGAGGTACTTGACGGCAAGAAATTGAAACGAAAAATTTTATTCTTAGCAATCAAAGGCAATCAGCTGTATTAGTCTTGGTAAAGTGGACACTCTTTTTTTTCCCCCACACTTTCTCAGCAGCCAAACAGAGCTTGGGAAATGATGACAATACAAATCCAACATTTCTCAAAAAAAAAAAAAAAAAAACCACCTTTTTCTATGATTTACCTCTAACAGTTCCTACACAATTAGATTACAACAAATGAAACAAATAGTATAAAATCCAAAATCTCACACACATAGAACATATAAAAAAAAAACCCACATCCCCAATTCCTCATATCGTTAAATACAGCAGATTTTGATCAACATGCAAACAATTCAGAGAGAACCATGAACAAGAAATATGATCAAAAAATTACGAAACATAAAAATAAAAAAAGTAAAATTTACAGAAACCCCATTAAAACTGAAGTACTGGGCACACCAAAAAATCAATAAAAATGAAACCCAAAAGAAAATTATTTGAAATTCTTACCTGATATCAGGTCCAATCTCTCCGACGTCACCCATCTAATCTTAATTTGCATCCAAAGATTGCTGCAAACCTTAAAAATCTGAGCTTTTATTTCTTCTTCTTCTTCTTCTTCTTTTCTGTCACGGAATTCTCTCTCTTCTCAGAGAAGCCGAGAATATAAGGAGCTGAAGGGCGAATCCAAATGGGGGAATTGAATCCCCAAAAGGGATCGATTGGATACAAAATCGCTGGACAAATTCTGTTCCGAAAATTAAAAGGGTAAAAAATTCAATAATTAAAAGAGGAGAGAGAAAGCAAATGTGTTTTTTAGAGAGAGAAAGCGATGGAGATGCTAAAATGCGAGTTGCGAATTGGAATTGTGCTCGGCGACCGAAAAATCGACAAAAAGGGCTTCACAAATGGATGAGAACTCGTCTGAGTTGCCAAGACAGAGGCCTTGATCCCCTGCATCGCGTCTAGGAAATTATTAATTTGTGGATGACCGTCGTTTTTATTTGAATTTTCAAGAGGGTTTTTTTTTTTTTTTTTTTTTTTTTTTTAAATATAACTTAATACACTAATTAAGTTTAACATGATAATCTATACATTTTGACTTTATTTTAATAGAAAAATTATTAGTTAAGTTCTGACCGCACATTTAAGGCGTTACATTTTGGCTCACGTCTAAATACTTTATAGCACTAAACCTCTCTCTTTAAGGTGAGCGTATTTTTTATTTTTACGTTTGGAATTTGAGTGAATTATTTTTTAATATTTACAATTCTACAGTGTCTTTTTTCTTCTTCATTTTTTTTTTGTGGCGTATAAAATTCGTAATGTGTAAAGAAATATTAACCATACAATGAAGTTAACTAATTTAACCAAAAAATTAACTAATCAATGTATCATTTTATAAGGCTACCATTTTTTTTTCTTTCTTTTTTTTATTTGTAAAAGAGAAAAAGAAAAAAAAATTACTAACCATTCGCTAATTAAGCAATTAGCAACTTACTACCTTTTTTTATTTATTAAATTTCTTTTTTTTTTCATATTTACTAGCTGGTATATGAAGAAAATAGCTCGATGTATTTGTCCGTTATTTGGTCTACATACATGGTCAATACTACTAGATATCTTAATTGGGATCCAAGAAAGGGAAAAAAAAAACACACATATATATATAATATTTAAATATATATATATAATCATAACACCGGAGGGGTTAAAAATGAACCTATTTCAACTATATCAAAACAATTACCGCTATACAAAAACTTGGCATGACATAATAATTTGGCACTGGTGTAGTAGTGTTTAATGTTTTTCAACAATTAATACTACAATCTAATAGCATTTTTCTAGCTATTTGTAAAAGAGAGATCTTATATTTGTCGGAGATGGCACTTGCTTGATGAGACACAAACTTTATTGAAATACTTTCACGATGTCCGTTGTTGCCCTAGGGAGTGCAATGCTGCTACTCACTGGTCTCCCTGGTTAAAAGGGCGACCCTAAGCTAACAAGTTTTTCCGCTTTGCAAGTGTGTAAGGGAGTGGACAGAGACATCTATCTTACGTTGTCTTACTCTTTCTTTACAAAGATGTTGTTTCTACGAATCCAACATGTGACCATTCGGTTACAAATAAGCAACATTTCTATTACGTCAATTGTTAATTAAATCCATCGTTAATCCTTGTTATATAGGTGACTTCTATTTATAATTTTAATAACTAAAACCTAAACCTTAAAACATCGAAATGAGATGGATTTGGTTCATTGATGACACTACAAGCTAGCTAGCTCTTTCGGGATGATCCTAAGTAATTATTATGCATTTTCGATAATGGTTGTAGACTTGATTTGTTTATGTTGTTGGTGGGGGTAATAAATTTCATGAAATTCCAACTTATGTCATCTTTTTTTTTTTGGTTAAAAAAAGGGACTAATAGCCTGACAAAAATGAAATTATAAAATAATGTCTTGAGGTTGAAAATTTTTAGAAATATCAAACAATAATAACTGTTTACAAATATTTATCTCATGATAGTTTTGTCAAATACTACATTCTCAGTCACACAGTAACATCACATGACAAGCTTAAATCAATTTTGGACATCACTTGACCATATGTATAATGTACTAACTGACATTAACTGAATCTAGTTAGTTAATCACCATTAGTTGGAGTTGATGGAAATCACCGGTAAAAATGAATATCACTTAACCGTATCTATAATGTATTAAGTGAAGTTAACTGGATGCACTTGGTTAACAAAAACCATTGGTTGGAGTTGATAGAGACCACTAATACTGAGAACTTAATTAGTGGGGTTTAAAAATCATTTATCCAATTAATTATAATAATATTATACAATACATACAAGATTTACACGCCACCAACCACAATGTCTGCCTGCTTTTATTTTTTATTTTTTTTCTGGTTTCATGGGATCTATTGGAGGAATAAAATAATCAATTGTCACCCACTAAAACATGGCTTATCCAATAATCGTTTCCTAGCATGCATGCTGATATTCTGATTGGATTCTACACTATCGTTAGATGGTTGCCAACATAATTCTGTTGCCTTTATCGTTTATTGTTATCGATCAATATTGATGGTGATTATTTGTTTGTGCTTATGGTAGCTTTTTAGAGGTTTACTTTTGTTTGTTTAATTGTGTAAAATTTTAAATTCATTCTAAATCAATTTATTGGTCACTGAAACAATGTATCCAATGCCACTTTTATATTTATTTGCGATGATTAATGGAAGGAATACCACTATATATATATATATATATATATGATAGATTTGTGACATCATTTTTTTACATAATATTTGACACACGTATGTATATAAAGAGAGAATTGTATGTCTCTAGACATACAAATCTGCAATTCTACTTTCTTAATCCCCTCTCTCTACCTAATTCTTGATAGTTTGGAGGTTTGTATGTCTAGCTGCGGAAGAAAAAATTGTGAAAGCTCTTATGACTCAATTGGGAGGTTACATGTTACGAAATTCACTTTTGTAATTTAAAAATGTTCTTAGAGTTCGTTTAGAAGTATTTTTAAAATAACTGAAAGAGCTTTTGGTGAAGATATTATTGGAAGCAATCCTTAACAAAAGTACAAGTGAATTTTAAAAAAAAAACACTTGAAGTGTTTCTCTCTTCTTCAAGTGCTTTTAGAATCCAAAAACAATTTTGTATAAACAATTTTAAAGAACGAGCCCTCATGTTTTTGCCGAACGTTGTTAGAAAGTGCTATCAACTCTTTCATACGCAATTTCAAACACACAATATACTTTCCAATGTGTGCGATGGAATGAGAATTCAGTTGATTCAATTGGTGTAAATAGGTATTAATTATAACAAAAACTAATGAAAATTGCTTGAAAACTTTGAGTTTTAACAATAAAGACAAAATAAAGGGTAAAGTGAATAGTACCATGATTAACTTTTTAGTATAAAAATGTAATTTTTCGTTAAAGTGAAAAGTATCGGGAACTTTTTGTTAAAGTTCCTTTAATTATGTCATCAGCTGTGCCGATCATTGCCTTGAGTTGGGAATGAGGTCGGGAAGCATCAAGTATTCTCAGTGCAAGCATTTTAATAATATTATTCATAGATAATATTCTTATAACAATTTGATCCATGGATTGCTTTCGGACATCCCAATTTGCTAGATGGGGACACATGCAAATCTCTATATCCATATATATAGAGTTCTGCTCTCGGTCTTCGTTTTGAAGAACATATGCATATTAGCTACAAAATTAGACTTAAAATATTTGACAACTTAATAAAAAAACAAGAAAATGAGTTTTCTAATGATTCAAAATAAGGATCTTAAAAGAGCAAGACTAAATATACTATAAATAAAGGCGTTAAGCATGAAAAATACTATCACAAAATTCTTCGAGCTTTTCTCTCAATTTCCCTCTTCACTTTTTCTCTCTAAATTTTAGGTCACTACATAATCACAATTAATGGCAGAGGAAAGATAATAAAAATCTTAATTAAGGATTTTTTTAATGTATAATATTTAGATAAAAGAAATTTAAATTGACATGGTCAATTAAAATGAATTAATCCAATGATTTATAACTTGTGTCTAAACTGTGGTGTCATGGATCCCGCCCTTATATATATATATATATATATATATATATATATATATATATATATGTTTATTGATTTACATATATATTGATAGAAAAGATGACTCGGATTGAAGTCATGTTGGAATCCCACATTCATGAGAGATTTTTCAGTGGGTTGAGAACACAGTCATATAATTAAGTGTCATAATACAATTAATTAAAAATTAAAAAAAAATTAAATTAATTTTATTATGACACTTGATGTAACAGACCGTATTCTCAACCCACTAAAATTTCTCCACATCCACGACTTCTTAAGGTGTATATGGTATAATGAACTAGACTACACCAATGTTGAAGTCTCATATATTTAGCAAAATTAAGCACGACACGACATCCCGATATGCATGAAAAGTTAAGGATTCGAGTCGAGCTTTATTTGCTTGAATTTATAATGGGTTAACACGACAAAATGTCAGAAATATGGTACGGTTTTCGTCAAATTCATAGTCAATTTTATTTCTGATAAGAACAGTTGACAATTGATTATATCTGTAATAATAGAAAAAGAAGACCCAACTTCAAGTTGTTCAAAAATAGTGATATTGAGTTTCTTGACTTTTTGCCTTAGGATGATTAGTCAGTTCTATTTTTCGATGGGAGGCAAGATAAGAGAATGGATTCAATGCAACGGTACAATGTCACATTGACGTACATATTTTTATGGGTTATGTTTACTCACGAAACATAATTTTGCAAGATAGTAACACTAAAGCTTTCTGATACATTTTCTAGATATATCTCTTTTGGATAATTATCTTGAGGGACTTTATTGTATAAAGAATTTTTTTTTTATATTATTATTAGGTAACGAGTTAGACATAATAATTTATTGTGTAATAAGATTCTTTTATTTATGTTTTTGTTTTGTTCGTAAGAAAGATGAGAAAGCAAGATGAAAAACGACATGACATGTAAAATTTGCAAATGAGCTTGAGTATTTTGATACAGTAAGTTAACGAATGTGTTTAAGAAAACTTTCGCACATGAGCACGCTAAAACACGACATCTTGCCAGGTCCAAAATTGGGTTGCAACTGTTTTATTTATCATAGTATAAAATATATGCAATTGCATCAAAACCCTTTTCACCTTGACTTGATAATTTCTTCTTTCATGGCAAGTGAGAGAGCACTGAGACTTCTCCCAACTTCCACTCTCACTCCTGGCATTGCTATTGCTCTACTCCCTACAAACCCACCTTCTCCGACACTGATCCTTCCAAACTTCACTTTCCCCTCATCGCCTTCATATATGTGTCCGAACAGAAGAGCTTCTCGTCCCACGCACCCGCCTCGCTCGATCTCCACCATTTC